TGGCTTGGAATAACAAGGAAAACACGGATCCCCATAACACAAAATACCCGAATCTCCCAGGCCGAATCGAAAGGCTATTTCAGATGTAAATAAATGCTATTTCAGGGGGAAAGACGGCTCTGTGTGTTTTCTAAGATTAGGGAAACAATTGGTATCTATGGATCTACTCACATTTGCATGTTTTTGGGCTGCTAGGTTGGCAGAAGCTGGGGCTGACAGTGGGAGCTCACCACATTCACAGGATTCGATCCACCGACCTGTCGGTCAGCAAGTTCAGTAACTCGGTGGTTTAACCCAGTGCACCACCGAGGGCTATTATTATCATCATTGGGATTAACTTCACTAAATAAGAATAATAGCAATAATAATAATAATAATAATAATAATAACTGGTTTAGCAATAATAATAATAATAATAATAATAACTGGTTAACTTCATTAAATAAGAATAATAGCAATAATAATAATAATAATAATAATAATAATAATAATAATAATAACTGGTTCAACCCAGTGCACCACCGGGGGCTATTATTATCACCATTGGTATTAACTTCATTAAATAAGAATAATAGCAATAATAATAATAATAATAATAATAATAATAATAGGTTTAACCCACCACCGAGGGCTATTATCATTATCATTGGGATTAACTTCACTAAATAAGAATAATAGCAATAATAATAATAATAATAATAATGCTTCTGATTATTATTGGTATTATTATTATTATGGTTATTGTTATTATTGTGATTATTAGGCTATAATTATTGCTATTATGATTGTGCTTATATTGCTATTATTCTTGTCATCCCTATTATTTCTATTATGATTCTCATCCCTATTATTGCTCTTACTATTATGACTATTATGATTCTGATTATTATGTATTATTATGTATTATTATGTATTATTATGTATTATTATTATTATTATTATTATCTTTAGCCTCTGGACCAAGACAGTGGTGGCCTTAAGAAGAGTGAATACAAAGGGTGAAGGGGGGGGGTTATATATAACCACAATAATAATAATAATAATAACTATGGCTATTATTATTTTTGCTATTATTATTGTACTTCTGGTTATGATTATTATTGCTATTATTCTTGTCATCCCTATTGTTTCTATTATGATTCTCATCATTATTATTGCTATGACTATTACAGCTATTATGATTCTGATTATTATTATTACTATTATTATTGTCTTCCCTATTATTGCTATATTGATGCTCATGCCTATTATTTCTATTATTAGTATGGCTATTATGATTCTGATTATTATTGGTATTATTATTATGGCGATTATTATTATTATTGTGATTATGGCTGTAATTATTGGTATTATGATTCTGATTATTACTGCTATTGTTATGGGTATTATTAGTTTTGCTATTATTATTGTAATTCCGATTGCGATTATTATTGCTATTAAGATTCTGATTATTACTGGTATTATTACTATGGATATTATTATTATTATTGTGATTATTATGGCTATAATTATTGCTATGAATATTCTGATTATTACTGATATTATTATGGCTATTATTATTATTGTGATTATTATGGCTATAATTATTGCTATGAATATTCTGATTATTACTGATATTATTATTATGATGGCTGTTATTATTATTGTGATCATTATGTCTATTATTACTGGTATTATTATGGCTATTATTATTATTGTGATTATTAGGGCTATAATTATTGCTATGAAGATTGTAATTATTACTGGTATTATTATTATGATGGCTATTATTATTATTAATGTGATTCTTATGTCTATAATTATTGCTATTAAGATTCTGATTATTATTGGTATTATTATGATGGCTATTATTATGATTGTGATTATTATGGCTATAATTATTACTATGAAGATTCTGATTATTATTGCCATTATTATTATGGCTATTATTATTGTGATTATTATGGCTACAATTATTGCTATTAAGATTCTGATTATTACTTGTATTATTATTATGGCTATTATTATTGTGATTATTATGTCTATAATTATTGCTATGAAGATTCTGATTATTACTGATATTATTATTATGGCTATTATTATTGCGATTAAGATTCTATTACTGGTATTATTATTGCTATTATTATTGTACTTATGATTATGATTATTATTGCTATTATTATTGTACTTATGATTATGATTATTATTGCTATTATTCTTGTCATCCCTATTATTTCTATTATGATTCTCATCCCTATTATTGATGACTATTATGGCTATTATGATTGTTATTGGTATAATGATAATGATGGTCCTGCTCTAGCTTCTGGGCCGAGGCAGTGGTGGCCTTAAGGAGAGAGACTCCTACACAGGTATGGAGAATCCTCCTGCCATGATAATGATGAAGGTCCTGCTCTAGCCTGTGGGCCGAGGTAGTGGTGGCCTTAAGGAGAGAGACTCCTATCCAGGCATGTAGAATCCTCCTGCCGTGATGATTATGAGGGTCCTGCTCTAGCTTCTGGGCCAAGGTAGTGGTGGTCTTAAGGAGAGAGACCCCTATACAAACATGATGATGATGAGGGTCCTGCTCTAGCTTCTGGGCTGAAGCAGTGGTGGTCTTAAGGAGAGAGACCTCTATACAGGCATGTAGAATCCCCCTACCATAATGATCATGAAGGTCCTGCTCTAGCTTCTGGGCCGAGGTAGTGGTGGCCTTAAGGAGAGAGAGACCCTAATACAAACATGATGATGATTAGGGTCCTGCTCTAGCCTGTGGGCCGAAGCAGTGGTGGTCTTAAGGAGAGAGACCCCTATACAGGCATGTAGGATCCTCCTGCCATTATGATGATGGTCCTGCTCTAGCCTGTGGGCCGAAGTAGTGGTGGACTTAAGGAGAGAGAGACCCCTATACAGGCATGTAGGATCCTCCTGCCATGATGATAATGAAGGTCCTGCTCTAGCTTCTGGGCCAAGGTAGTGGTGGCCTTAAGGAGAGAGAGATCCCTATACAGGCATGTAGAATCCTCCTGCCATGATGATGGTGAAGGTCCTACTCTAGCTTCTGGGCCGAGTCAGTGGTGGCCTTAAGGAGAGAGAGACCCCAATACAGGCATGTAGGATCCTCCTGCCATGATGATGATTAGGGTCCTGCTCTAGCTTCTGGGCCGAGGCAGTGGTGGCCTTAAGGAGAGAGAGACCCCTATCCAGGCATGTAGAATCCTCCTACCATGATGATGGTGAAGGTCCTACTCTAGCTTCTGGGCTGAGGCAGTGGTGACCTTAAGGAGAAAGACCCCTATACAGGCATGTAGAATCCTCCTGCCATGATGATGGTGAAGGTCCTACTCTAGCTTCTGGGCCGAGGCAGTAGTGGCCTTAAGGAGAGATATCCCTATACAAACATGATGATGATGAGGGTCCTGCTCTAGCCTGTGGGCCGAAGCAGTGGTGGCCTTAAGGAGAGAGAGACCCCAACACAGGCATGTAGGATCCTCCTGCCATGATGATGGTGAAGGTCCTACTCTAGCTTCTGGGCCAAAGCAGTGATGGCCTCAAGGAGAGAGACTACTATCCAGGCATGTAGAACCCTCCTGCCATGATGAGGGTCCTGCTCTAGGTTCTTGTGGGTTTTTTCGGGCTATAGGGCCATGTTCTAGAGGCATTTCTCCTGACGTTTGATGATGATGAGGGTCCTGCTCTAGCTTTTGGGCCAAAGCAGTGGTGGCCTTAAGGAGAGAGAGACCCCAACACAGGCATGTAGGATCCTCCTACCATGATGATAATGAAGGTCCTGCTCTAGCTTCTGGGCCGAGGCAGTGGTGGCCTTAAGGAGAGAGACCCTTATACAAACATGATGATGATAATGAAGGTCCTGCTCTAGCCTGTGGGCCGAAGCAATGGTGACCTTAAGGAGAGAGAGACCCCTATACAGGCATGTAGGATCCTCCTGCCATGATGATGGTCCCGCTCCATCTTCTGGGCCAAGGTAGTGGTGGACTTAAGGAGAGAGACTACTATACATGCATGTAGGATCCTCCTGTCATGATGATGATGAGGGTCCTGCTCTAGATTCTGGGCCGAGGCAGTGGTGACCTTAAGGAGAGAGACCCCTATACAGGCATGTAGAATCCTTCTGCCATGATGATAATGAAGGTCCTGCTCTAGCCTGTGGCCCAAAGCAGTGGTGGCCTTAAGGAGAGAGACCCCTTTACAGTCATGTAGAATCCTCCTGCCATGATGGTGGTCCTGCTCTAGCCTGTGGGCCGAAGCAGTGGCGGCCTTAAGGAGAGAGAGAGACCCCTATACAGGCATGTAGAACTCTCCTGCCATGATGAGGGTCCTGCTCTAGCCTGTGGGCCAAAGCAGTGGTGGCCTTAAGGAGAGAGACCCCTATACAGGCATGATGATGATGAGGGTCCTTCTCTAGCTTCTGGGCTGAGATAGTGGTGGCCTTAAGGAGAGAGACCCCTATACAAACATGATGATGATGAGGGTCCTGCTCTAGCTTCTGGGCCGAGGTAGTGGTGGCCTTAAGGAGAGAGAGACCCCAATACAGGCAAGGAGAGAGACCCCAATACAGGCATGTAGAACCCTCCTGCCATGATGATGGTCCTGCTCTAGCCTGTGGGCCGAAGCAGTGTTGCCTTAAGGAGAGAGACCCCTATACAAACATGATGATGATGAGGGTCCTGCTCTAGCTTCTGGGCCAAGGCAGTGGTGGCCTTAAGGAGAGAGAGACCCCAATACAGGCATGTAGAATCCTCCTGCCATGATGATGGTGAAGGTCCTGCTCTAGCTTCTGGGCCGAAGCAGTGGTGGCCTTAAGGAGAGAGAGACCCCAATACAGGCATGTAGAACCCTTCTACCATGGTGATGGTCCTGCTCTAGCCTGTGGGCCAAAGCAGTGGTGGTCTTAAGGAGAGAGACCCCTCTACAGGCATGTAGAGCCCTCCTGCCAAGTTCTCCATGGGAAGAGAGAGAGAGAGGGAGATGGAAGGATAAAAGGGTGCTGGGGGTCTCACCGGTCTTGTACTCGAGCGCGGGGTCCTTCTCCTCGCCGCCCTTCCGCTCGTCCTGGAGGAGGACGTAGAGCATCCCGAAGGAGTTGTGGATCCCGAAGATGGAGCCGTTGCACCAGGTAGCAGCCAGGACCACCACCCAGCCGAAGCCGCCCTCCGGGGGGGAGAAGCCCGGCGAGGGGGAGCAGGCCGGCCCGCCCGCCGAGGAGGAGGGGCTGCTCCCGCCCGCCAAGCCCACCGCCCCCGACTCGCCCCCCTCCCCCTCCCCCTCGCCCTCCTCGCCGTCGCCCCCCTCCTCCTCCAGAGCCCCCTTCTCCTCCGGCATCGACGCCTCCGGCCCGCCGCGCAGCACCATCGCCCTCGCCCTCCTTCTCTGGCTCTGCTGCTTGCTGCTCCTGCTGCTCCTGCTGCTCCTGGTCAGGCTGCTGCTCTTAATGCTGCCCACTCCCCGCCTCGGGCAGCCTGAGCCTCAGACCAGGCCCCGCCCCCACCGACGCCTCCGCCCCCTCCCCTCGCCCCGCCTCCCCTCCCTCCCCTTCCGCGGGTGCCTCTCTCTCTCCCTCCTTCCTTCCTTCCTCCGCTCTCACTCTCTCTCCCCTTCTCTGCTTTCTTTCCTTTCCATCTCTCTCCTTCTCTACTTCCTTTCTTCTTTCTTTCTTTCTGTCTTTCTCTCCCTCCCTCTCTTTCTTTCCTTCTCTCTCCCCTTCTCTACTTCCTTTCTTCTTTCTTTCCTTCTTTCTCTCCTTCTCTCTCCCCTTCTCTGCTTTCTGTCTTTCTGTCTGTCTTTCTTTCTTTCCCTCTCCCTCCCCTTCTCTGCTTCCTTTCTCTTTCTTTCTTTCTTTCTCTCCTTCTCTCTCCCCTTCTCTGCTTCCTTTCTTCTTTCTTTCTTTCTCTCCTTCTCTCTCCTCTCCTTTTTCTTTCTTTCTCTTTCTTTCTTTCTTTCTTTCTTTCTTTCTTTCTTTCACTCTCTTCTTTCTTCCTTCTTTTCTTTCTTTTTCTTTCTGTCTTTACCTCTCCCTCCTCTCTTATTCAAACCTCTTCTCCCTTCTTGCTTCCTTCTTCTTTCATTTATTTATTTCTTCTTATCTCTTCTCTCTCTTCTCTTCTTTTCTTTCTTTCTTCTTCTTTCTTTCCTTCCTTCCCTTTTCTTCTTTCTCTTTCTTTCTTCTTTCTTTTTCCTCCTTCTTTCCCCTTCTCTCTTTCCTTTCTTTCTTTCTTTCTTTCCTCCTCTCTTCTTCCTTCTCTGCTTCCTTTCTTCTTTCTTTCTTTCTTTCTTTCTCTCTCCTTCTCTCTCCCCTTCTCTGCTTTTTCTTTCTTTCTTTCCTTCCCTCTTCTTTCTTTCCTTCTCTCCCTTCTTTCCTTCCTCTTTTTTTTTTCTTTCTTTCTTCTCTCTCCCTTCTCTTTTTTCTTTGTCTTTCTTTTCTTTCTTTCTTTCTTTCTTTCTTTCTCTTTCTTCCTCTCCTACCTCTCTTTCTTTCCTTCTCTCTCCTTCCTCCTTCTCTCTCTTCTGTCTTTCTTTCTTTCTTTCCCTCTCTCTCCCCTTCTCTTCCTTTCTTCTTTCTTTCTCTTCTTCTCTCTCCCCTTCTCTGCTTTCTTTCTTTCTTTCTTTTCCTCTCCTCTCCTTCTCTCTCCTTTTCTTTCTTTCTTTCTTTCTTCCTTCCTTCCTTCCCTTCTCTTCTTCCTTTCTTCTCTTCCTTTCTCTTCTTCTTCTTTCTTTCTCCCTTCTCCTTTTCCCTTCCTTCTTTCTCTTCCTTCTTCTTTCTTTCTTCTCTCTCCTTCTTTCTTTTCCTTCTCTTTCCCTTCCTCTTCCTTTTTTTTTTCCTTCCTTCTTTCATTCTTTTCTTTTTTCTTCTTTTCTCTCCTTCCTTCCTTCTTTCTTCTTTCCTTCTCTTCTTCCTTCTTTTTTTTTTTTTTTTCTTCTCTTTCTCTTTCTCTCCTTCCTTCTCTCCCTCTCTTCTTTTTCTCTACCTTCTTCCTCTCTTCCTTTTATCTCTTTCTTCTTTTCTTTCTCCTTCTCTCCCCCTCTTTCTTTCTTTCCCTCTCTCTTTTCTTCTTTCTCTCTTCCCTCCTTTTGCTTCAATGCTGTTGGTCTTTGCTTCTTCTTCCAGCACGCTGACATTTCCCTGCCTGTCTTCCCAAGAGATTTGCAGGACTTTTCGGAGGCAACACTGATGGAATCATACCAGGAGTTGAGTATGACATCTGTAGACAGTCCATGTCTCTCAGGCGCATTTTTTTTAGAATTCATTCACAAGATTCCTTTGTGTTCTATCATCCCGCCTCCCTCTTTCCTGATTTGCTATCGCCGCTAGATGGCAGGAGCCTCCCCATTGGACCCTATGGACCGCTGGAGCTTCCTGATTGGTCCAGGGGCGGGAGGGCCACCTCCCAGCTGTTTGCCCATTGTCCAATCACAGTGGAGGGCAGCAGGGAGGCCGGGGTGGGAAGTTTGAACTCTGCAACTTTGAATTTACTATAAATATGCCTGTATCAAATGTATTTCTTTATGCTCTGCTGGCGAATGATCGCAGCTCTGCATCCTTTTCAGCTGGATCGCTAAATAAACCTCGATGGCTTTTCTTCAACCTTGGTGAGATTTATTTGGGAAAAATCAGGGAAAATTCTGGGCCTTTCTCCTCTTTCACTTGCCAAGGGTTTCGGACTCTCTTTGTGGGTCTAAGGCAGTGTTTCTCAACTTTCCTAATGCCGCGACCCCTTAATACAGGTCCTCATGTTGTGGTGACCCCCAACCATAATGTTATTTTCATTGCTACTTCATAACTGTAATTTTGCTACTGTTATGAATTGTAATGTAAATATCTAATATGCAGGATGTATTTTCAGTCCCTGGACCAAATTTGGCACAAATACCCGATACGCCAAAAATTTGAATACTGGTGGGGTTGGGGGTGATTGATTTTGTCATTTGGTAATGCTGGAGTTGCTGGGATTTATAGTTCACATTAAATCAAAGAGCCTTCTGAACTCCATCAATAATGGAATTGAATCAAACATGGCACACAGAATTCCCATGACCAAGAGAAAATACTGGGAAGGTCTGGTGTCCAAGGTCTGTCATTTTGCTACTATTATGAATCGTAATATAAAATACTGGAAGGGTTGGGTAGACATTGACCTTGAGTTTTTGGAGTTGTAGTTCACCTACATCCAGAGAACACTGTGGACTCAAGCAATGATGGATCTGGATCAAACTTGGCACAAATACTCAATATGCCCAAATGTGAACACTGGTAGAGTTTGGAGAAAATAGACCTTGCCATTTGGGAGTTGCAGTTGTTGGGGTTTATAGTTCACCCACAATGAAATGGTATTCTCAACCCCACCAATGATAGAATTGGACCAAACTTTCCACACAGAACCCCCATGACCAACAGAAAATACTATATTTTCTGATGGTCTTTGGCGACCCCTCTGACACCCCCTCGCGACCCCCACAGGGGTCCCGACCCCCAGGTTGAGAAACACTGGTCTAAGGGCTCCTCTCTCCTGGGCAGGAGCCTCCAAATTCTAGCTCGATATCAATTGGTGTTGGGGTTCAGCCTGATCCTGATCTGTGTGAACAGGATTCTCTGATAGTTTTTCAAACTGAGCAAGCTCTCCCTGACTCTGACAGTGTGGAATCTGTTGTTGATGCAGAGGTCAGTGGGAATGAAAACGAAACCCAACAGTTAGAAGAGAATGTTTTGGAAGTTAGCCGTGATATCTCCCCACCTGGGCTTGATAATGAGGTCCGAAGAGAACAGATAGTCAGAGATAGATTTGTTTCCCAGTCTGTACGAAGGTCACAGCGCCTTCAGCAGAAAGAGGCCCAAACAGAAAAGTCAAGGGGCGTTTCTAAGAATAGCTTCTTTGGTTTAAGAGCATCCCTGCCGGGTGCTTCTTTAGGTCAAGCAACGTTCGGGACTGTGGCTGGTCTTGGCAGAATTCCTGTGTTCCATGGCCAGTAATCCCAGAGGCTTGTAGTTTCCAAGTTCATGGTTAGTAAAAGGCTAACAGACTCCTGGTTATTGTTTTGTGGCTTTTGAAGTTTTGCTCAAGTTCAGAGATCCTATTGACTACTGTGTTTTTCTGTGGCTTTTTTACTCTGCATTTACCTTTCTTTTGTAACCAATTTTTCATCAATAAACAAGGATTGCTTTTCCTACAGTCCAGAGTGGTGGATTTAATCTTATGGTCTTGTTTCTTGAACTGGGATGCAACAATTGGGCCCTAAATTATGGATTGTGGACACCATAAACGAATGGAGACAGGCATATTCCAGTTAACAAAGCCTTCCCAAATGCATCTGGGGAGAAGCCTTCAAGCCTTCAAGCTGTTTCTGAAAGGATCAACATGTTTTTGTTTACTTCCAAGCAATGCTTTCCCGACCCGCGCAAGCACGTTATTGATTTCTAATTCAGAGGCGGTTGAAGCGCACTGAAAAGCTCTCCTGTTTCTTTCATGTTTCTCTATTTTCTACTCAAAGAAAGAATTATCTGGAAAACGTTTCCTTCCTCTATTGAGACTGTGCCTTGAGACCACTTTGTCAGCAAACCGCATGGTTCCCATGCCCCGTTTCAATGCCTTTTGCAAGTTAACGCAAACCCAAGAATAAAAATTAATCCGGTTGCAACTCCCCATCTAGTTGTGTTTTCCAAGCTTTGTAAGAGTGTTAAGGATTTTATTGTTTCGATGTCAGGCAAACACAGATGGCCAGGATATTGACATTGTCGACGTTCTCGCAGCTTGGTATTGATTTCGTGTTCTTCTAACTCAATATGAATGCTGGGTATGCATAAAGTGGGAACGCTTTTCTACCCATACATCTTTCGAATAGGAGAACGGACCTTCCGTGGAACTACATAAACATTCCCGGAAACGTTAGGCCTGAACCTTAATTATTTGAAAAACTGTGCTTCCTGCTGAAATGGAGCAGTTTGAACCAGCTGTGGATAGTGAGATCTGGGCAGTGGATAGTGAAACCCAGAGCTGAGTCCCAATATTTATTTATTTACAGCTTTTATATTCCGCCCTTCTCACCCCGCAGGGGACTCAGGGCGGATTACAGTGTACACATATATGGCAAACATTCAATACCAATTTTTGACATACAAACATATACAGACATACAGAGGCTATTTAACTTTTTCTGGCCGCCAGGGGAGCTGTCGCTTTCATCGTCCATCTGCGACGCTGATGAAGCACTTCCGCATTCCCCGCATGCTTCCCCTCTGGAATGCTTTGCTGGAGTCTTCTTTATGGCCTCATAAATCAGTTAATTTAGCCTCCCCACACTTTTAGGTGGTACCTAATTTTCCTACTTGACAGATGCAACTGTCTTTCGGGTTGCAAAGG